CAGCCCAGGTCTCGATCTCGCGGTCCGTGAGTTCAAGCCCCGCGTCGGGCTCTGTGCTGATGATGGCTCGGAGCCTGGAGCCTGCTTCCGATTCTGTGTGTCCCTCCTCTCTGCCCCTCCCCCGTTCATGCTGTGTCTCTCTCTGTCTCAAAAATAAATAAACGTTAAAAAAAAAAAATTTAAAAATGTATTGCTAAAAAAAAAAAGCAGGTCGTTTAGTAACAACTTTATTTGTATTTTTTTAATGGTTACCTTTTTCCTGTATTTATTTATTTATTTTTATTTATTTATTACCATGTATATAGATTTTATTAGGATTCCAGTTCAAACAAGCAAACTGGGAAAAAAAAAAGATTAAATACAGTCATTTTCAGACCATGAAAAGTGATAGGATTTGCACTACAAGCAACACTAAAGGGTGATCTTAAGACAGAAGGAAAGTGAGGTGCAGGGAGGAACAAGGAGAAATTAAAGTGTTAAATATGGGAAATAATCTGAATGAAATGACTAAGCAAAGTAACATTAACAAAGGTGACACATACAAAAACCAACTGCATTTCTAAATTCAAGTGGCAGTTTGCAAATAAATTTTATGAACAGAAACCATACATAGCAGGTTCAAAATATCAGATTCCTAGGAATTAGTTTAACAAAATCTGTGAAAAACTTCCTAACAGAGTATAATAGAATATAGTGGTAAAATTTTTGAAGTCCTAAAGAGACAGAGATATATCTTGATTCTAAAGTAGAAGGCTCATTATTGCAAAAGTGTTCAATTCTCTCCAGATTGCTTCTGCTTTCAAAACAATCCCCAATTTTTTTCTGTGGAATTTTGCAATATGATTTCAAAATAGAAATGCCAACATATAAGAATAGCAAAGACAATTTAAATAGACAAAACAAGGTGGGGAGACTTGCTGTACTAGATATCAAGATTTATTATAAAGTTACAGTAATTAAAACAATATTTTATTAGTATCAGATTAGACAGATCAAAAAAACATAGAACACTTCACGAATTTGCCTGTCAACCTTGTGCAGGGGCCATGCTAATCTTCTCTGTATCGTTCCAATTTTAGTATATGTGCTGCCAAAGACAGAACTTATCTTTATTTTTGAGAGAAAGAGAGACAGAGCGTGAGCAGGGGGAGGAACACACAGAGAGGAAGACAGAATCCGAAGCAGGCTCTAGGCTCTGAGCTGTCAACACAGAGCCCGACTCGGGCCCGAACTCATGAACTGT